GGGAGAGTTTGACTTCTTCTTTGCCAATTTGAATGCCTTCAATGTCTTTTTGTTGTCTGATTGCTGAGGCTAGGACTTCCAATACTATGTTGAATAGCAGTGGTGAGAGTGGACATCCCTGTCTGGTTCCTGATCTTAGGGGAAAGGCTCCCAGTGCTTCCCCATTGAGAATGATATTTGCTGTGGGCTTTTCGTAGATGGCTTTTAAGATATCGAGGAAAGTTCCCTCTATCCCTACACTCTGAAGAGTTTTGATCAGGAATGGATGCTGTATTTTGTCAAATGCTTTCTCTGCATCTAATGAGAGGATCATATGGTTCTTGGTTTTTCTCTTGCTGATATGATGAATCACATTGATTGTTTTACGAGTGTTGAACCAGCCTTGTGCCCCGGGGATAAATCCTACTTGGTCATGGTGAATAATTTTCTTAATGTGTTGTTGGATCCTATTGGCTAGTATCTTGTTGAGAATTTTTGCATCCATGTTCATCAGGGATATTGGTCTGTAATTCTCCTTTTTGGTGGGGTCTTTGTCTGGTTTTGGAATTAAGGTGATGCTGGCCTCATAGAATGAATTTGGAAGTACTCCATCTCTTTCTATCTTTCCAAACAGCTTTAGTAGAATAGGTATGATTTCTTCTTTAAACGTTTGATAGAATTCCCCTGGGAAGCCATCTGGCCCTGGACTCTTGTGTCTTGGGAAGTATTTAATGACTTCTTCAATTTTCTCCCTGGTTATTGGCCTGTTCAGGTTTTCTATTTCTTCCTGCTCCAGTTTTGGTAGTTTGTGGCTTTCCAGGAATGCGTCCATTTCTTCTAGATTGCCTAATTTATTGGCGTAGAGCTGTTCATAATATGTTTTTAAAATCGTTTGTATTTCCTTGGTGTTGGTAGTGATCTCTCCTTTCTCATTCATGATTTTATTAATTTGAGTCTTCTCTCTCTTCTTTTTAATAAGGTTGGCTAATGGTTTATCTATCTTATTAATTCTTTCAAAGAACCAACTCCTGGTTCTATTGATCTGTTCCACAGTTCTTCTGGTCTCAATTTCGTTGATTTCTGCTCGAATTTTAATTAACTCTCTTCTTCTGCTGGGCGTCGGGTAGATTTGCTGCTTCTTCTCTAGCTCCTTTATGTGTAAGGTTAGCTTTTGTATTTGAGTTCTTTCCAGTTTTTGAATGGATGCTTGTATTGCGATGTATTTCCCCCTCAGGACTGCTTTTGCTGCATCCCAAAGATTTTGAACAGTTGTATCTTCATTCTCATTAGTTTCCATGAATCTTTTTAATTCTTCCTTAATTTCCTGGTTGACCCTTTTATCTTTTAGCAGGATGGTCCTTAACCTCCACGTGTTTGAGGTCCTTCCAAACTTCTTCTTGTGATTGAGTTCTAATTTCAAGGCGTTATGGTTTGAGAATATGCAGGGGACAATCCCAATCTTTTGGTATCGGTTCAGACCCGATTTGTGACCCAGTATGTGGTCTATTCTGGAAAAAGTTCCATGTGCACTTGAGAAGAATGTGTATTCAGTTGAGTTTGGATGTAAAGTTCTGTAGATATCTGTGAAATCTATCTGGTCCAGTGTATCATTTAAAGCTCTCGTTTCTTTGGAGATGTTGTGTTTAGAAGACCTATCAAGGGTAGAGAGAGCTAGATTGAAGTCACCAAGTATAAGTGTATTATTATCTAACTATTTCTTTACTTTGGTTAATAATTCGTTTAAGTATTTGGCAGCTCCCACATTCGGGGCATATATATTGAGGATTGTTAAGTCCTCTTGTTGGATAGATCCTTTAAGTATGATATAGTGTCCCTCTTCGTCTCTCACTACTGTCTTCGGAGTGAATTTTAGTTTATCTGATATAAGGATGGCTACCCCTGCTTTCTTTTGAGAACCATTTGAATGGTAAATGGTTCTCCAACCTTTTATTTTCAGGTTGTAGGTGTCCTTCTGTCTAAAATGAGTCTCTTGTAGACAGCAAATAGATGGGTCCTGCTTTTTTATCCAGTCTGAAACCCTGCGCCTTTTGATGGGTCATTAAGCCCGTTCACGTTCAGAGTTACTATTGACAGATATGAGTTTAGTGTCATCATGATTTCTATTTAGTCCTTGTTTTTGTGGATTGTTCCACTGAACTTCTTCTTAAAGGGGAATTTTAAGAGTCCCCCTTAAAATTTCTTGCAGAGCTGGTTTGGAGGTCACATATTCTTTCAGTTCCTGCCTGTCTTGGAAGCTCTTTATCTCTCCTTCCATTTTGAATGAGAGCCTTGCTGGATAAAGTATTCTTGGTTGCATGTTTTTCTCATTTAGGACCCTGAATATATCCTGCCAGCCCTTTCTGGCCTGCCAGGTCTCTGTGGAGAGGTCTGCTGTTACCCTAATATTCCTCCCCATGAAAGTCAGGGACTTCTTGTCTCTTGCTGCTTTAAGGATCTTCTCTTTATCTTTGGAATTTGCAAGCTTCACTATTAGATGTCGAGGTGTTGAACGGTTTTTATTGATTTTAGGGGGGGATCTCTCTATTTCCTGGATCTGAATGCCTGTTTCCCTTCCCAGATTGGGAAAGTTTTCAGCTAGTATTTGTTCAAATACATATTCTGGCCCTCTGTCCCTTTTGGCGCCCTCGGGAACCCCAATTAAACGTAGGTTTTTCTTCCTTAGATTGTCATTTATTTCCCTTAATCTGTCTTCATGGTCCTTTAATTGTTTGTCTCTTTTTTCCTCAGTTTCCCTCTTTGCCATTAACTTGTCTTCTATGTCACTCACTCGTTCTTCCACCTCGTTAACCCTCGTCGTTAGGACTTCTAGTTTGGATTGCATCTCATTCAGTTGATTTTTAATTTCTGCCTGATTGGATCTAAATTCTGCAGTCATGAAGTCTCGTGAGTCCTTAATGCTCTTTTCTAGAGCCACCAGTAGCTGTATAATAGTGCTTCTGAATTGGCTTTCTGACATTGAATTGTAATCCAGATTTTGTAGCTCTGTGGGAGAGAGGGCTGTTTCTGATTCTTTCTTTTGAGGTGAGGTTTTCCTTCTAGTCCTTTTGCTCAGTGCGGAGTGGCCAAAAACAAGTTGTATTGGGAAAAGGAGAGAAAGAGAGAGAAGGAAAGAAAAGAGAAAAAGAAAAAAGAAAAAGAAAAGAAAAAGGAAAGAAGAGAAGAAAAAGGGAAAGAAAAAGAAAGAAAGGTGAAAAAACGGGGGTGGGGGAAGCAATCAGAAATCAAAAAGAAAAGAACAAAGAAACAAAAAGAAAAAAAAAACCACGGGGGAGTATTTCTGTAGACTTTAAGTCCCTTGACTTCCCCTGGAACTGGTCCGTCCAGCTGGTCTTCCGGGGGAGGGGCCTGCTGTGCTGATTTTCAGGTGTTAGCACTTGGGGGAGCTGCTCTGCCCCTGCCTGCCGGAGGGCTCAGCGGGGTTGTTTACCCCGTGAGGTGTCAGGAGGAACAGTTGCAGTTGCTATGGCAACTCTGGAAGCCTGGATTCAGCCTCCGCAGGAACTAGGGGCTCGGGCTCTCGGCTCTCCGTCTGCAGGGCCTGGAGGCTCCCGGGCGGGGCCGCTGATGTGCTCAGCTCGGGGCAGGAGCGTCCTTGCTGTCCTGGGCCCTCCCGGCCTCTGCCTGTCCCGGGGGGAGGCCGGATCCTGGGCTGTGTCCTGGCGCCCTGTGCTCCGGGGCCTGCGCTGTTGGATTTGCGCTCCCGCCCCGCAGCTCCCTCCCTGGAGCCGCTCCGGAGACCCTCCGAACTGCTCCGGTGCGCGCTGCAGCCCTTAGGGAGCTCGGAGCACTCCCCTGGGCTCGCAGGTGTCTGTTAGTGTCCCAGGGAGCCCGAGGGCATCCCCGCCCTCCTGGGTCCTGCTCTAACTCCCTGCGAGTCCCTTTCCCCCGGGAAGGTTGGTGCAGCTCCTGCTCCTCCGGGACGGGGCTCTCCTGTCCTGGGGACACTCGCCCCGGCCTCAGCCCGGCTCCTCGCGGGGCCCCTCCCCCTTGGAGGCCTTTTGTTCCTTTATTTCTTTTTCCCCGTCTTCCTACCTTGATAGAAGCGCGAACTCCTCTCACTGTAGCATTCCAGCTGGTCTCTCTTTAAATCTCAGGCCGAATTCGTAAATTTTCAGGATGATTTGAAGGTTATCTAGGTAATTTGGTGGGGACAGGTGATTTGGGGACCCTACTCTTCCGCCATCTTGCCCCTCCTCCAATGTTAATCTTCCAATAGGAAGTGGAGTACATCATCGTCAAGCACCCATTTTCAGCCTCCTTACTTACAAAGAAAGTTATGGGGACATCTTACACATTTGCAATTCCTTAAAGACACTTGCTTTCTATTAAAATACTTCTTTATACATAAATAGATAAAATCTGTGAAGAATTCACGGAAGCATCCATCACCTTAAAAAGTTAAAAATGTATCAAAATGTACATAACAATGGCAAATCTATATAATGTCTCCATTTGTGTCACCATCCTCCAAACCTAGAGCATATGCTGCCATAAAATGTATTACCTCCCAGCTAAGTTTGAAACCTTGCTTCAAAACATTGCTCAGTACTAATTCTCAGAAGACATGTTATAGGACCATGTGAGTGACTGTTAGGCAGATGGCTGAGGAATGCTAATTACAGACCCCAGCCTGGACTGTGCAGAGTGCCTCTCCAGAGAACGCTATCTTCCCCATAGGTATTGAGGGAAGGACACTATTTAAGTATAAAGACAGATCAACTTAAAAAGTATGGGCAAAATCATGCTTGATTTTATCTTACAACCCACAGTATATCAGAACATAATTTAATAAATTCATACATATTTTCAAAAGGTAAACCTGATACAGAAGTAGCAATAGTTACAAATCATAATCATCGGATGAAATAATTTCCATGAAGCTTGTCTGTCTGGAAGAGATGGGGACAAGGCAAGTGGTCAGGAAGGAAACAGTGTGCTTTTAACCTTGCAGGAAAATCAGTGCTCAGTTCCATGTTACTGCATAAACTCTCCACTTCAAATTACTCCCCAAATGCTTTACTGAAACTCCGCTTCTGGCCTTTGTTTTGGAATCTGTTATTTTTGTTGCCACCTCCTGATCGCTGTCCTCTGAAGCTTCGATTTCCCTCCTGCTGTCCTCTAAAGCCTAGACTGCCTTCCCGTTGTCCCCGGAAGCCTCGACTGCCTTCCTGCTGTCCACGGAAGTTTCGATATCCTTCCCGAGGTCCTTCCAGCTCTGGTTGCTCCGTGGCCACAGAGAGCTGCCAGCGACGTGCATCATGCCATTTTTCCTGTATTTCTGTTACTGCTGCAGTAGGGACATCGAAGCAAACTCCCTGCTTTCCTTTGAGAAACACCATTCCTTTCACTTTGGAATCAATATCCTCTCCCAGCTGCTCTTTAAGTTCTTTCCAAGCATAACTAATGTTTGGCATTTCAATTGAGCATCGTAAGATCATGGTCACAAAGCCCGCATCTGAGTTGATCAGAGAGCGCTGGTCTACTGATGTGGCACCTGAAATATGGGCCAAGGCTGCTGCCAGGGCTTCCACGGCTCCTTTCTCCTCTATTAGTTTCTCCGCTGACTGCTTGAAATGACTAATGGCAGTGGGAGGCACAGAATCCAAAAGCCTGATGGCATCTTTGCTGGAAGCCTTTATGATCTCTGTTGCAGAAGGAACACCTATTCGTTTAAATTTAATTCCCGCTTTTTGCTCCACTTGTGCTAACTGAAACTCCTCCATGTGCTGATAAAAGCAGATGCAAATCCCTGTCCTTCCAGCTCTGCCCGCCCTCCCAGAGCGATGAATATAGGACTCCACATCCTTTGGTGGAGAACTCTGTATCACCTGATCAACCTCAGGGATGTCTAACCCACGAGCAGCAACATTAGTTGCAACCAAAACTCCCAAATCACCATTTCTAAAACCTTTCAGAGTGATTGCTCTCTGCTTCTGAGGAATATCTCCATGCAATGACTGGGCATCCTGCCTTATGGACATATTCTGTGACAACTCCTGGGCTTCTTTCTTGGTTTCGCAGAAGATGATGGTACGCCCGTGAAAACCACTGTATACTCGGATCACATCCCCAATAACTGCTGCCCTTTGAGTCCAGTGGCACTTGATAGCCAGGTGCTCCACGGTTATTGCCGTTTTCTGGATCTTTTTACCAATCAGGTCCACCTGTTCATATGTAGATTTCATGTATTTCTTAGCAACATCATATACCCAATGAGGGCAAGTTGCAGAAAAAAGCAATGTTTGGGGATTGTCTTCTGAATCTTTTTTGTATGCCACACTTAAAATCTCTTCCACTTGATCAGCAAACCCCATATCTAACATCTGGTCAACTTCATCCAGGACAACATGCTTAAGTTTGGTGAGATCTAGCTTGCCATTCTGAAGGTGGTCTTTGATACGACCTGGGGTCCGAACCAGGATATCAATCCCAATCTGCATGCGTTCAATTTGACCTCCATAGGGAGTTCCACCATAAAAACAAGCCACCGCCAGCTTTCTTGTGATGTCACTGAAGTCTCTGCTTACTTGATTTGCCAACTCCCTTGTGGGTGCAAGAACCAGTACCTGAGGGGCACGACCTCTTTTCCTGTCTTGCAGTTCTCCCTAGAGCTTCACAATCAAAGGGATGGCAAAGGAGAACGTCTTCCCAGTTCCTGTCCCCGCCTGTGCAATTAAGTCCTTTCCAGTATAGACATGGTAAAATGTCTTTGCTTGTATAGGAAACAGGAAGGTCACCCCACAGGCTTTGAGAAGTTTAATAGTCTCTTCAGGTATGGGAAAATTAGAGAAAGCTCCTTCTTTCTGTTCCACAGGTATTTCCTGCTCTAACTCACTGTTACTTTCTTCCCCTAGGGTTTCACTGGTGTTAGAGACAAGTCCAGAATAAGGGAATCCATTCTTCAGTTTGGAGCTTTTCTCTCCAATTTCTTCATTCATTTCCTTTTCTTTCTTCATCTTCTTGGGCTTAGGAACACTTATCTCTTCTTCAGAAGGTTCTTCACTTTTTATTACTTTTTTTTTTTTTGTTTTAGGAGAAACAACTTTCTTTTCAAAGGACTCCTTTGTTTTTTTCACACTTTGGTTTTAGGAGAAATTATGTCATCCTGAGATGGCTCCTCTTTCTTTTTTGCCTTTTTAGATTTAGGAGAATTCATGTCAGCCTCATTAGACTCGGCTTTCTTTTTAACTTTTTTAGCTTTAGGGGAAGGAATTTCTTCTTTTACTTCTGTTGCCTCTTCAGTCTTAATAGATTTTGGTTTCTCCTTTCTACCTTTCTTCTATTTTTTTTTAATTTTTATTTATTTATGATAGTCAGAGAGAGAGAGAGAGAGAGAGAGAGAGAGAGAGAGAGAGGCACAGAGACATAGGCAGAGGGAGAAGCAGGCTCCATGCACCGGGAGCCCGATGTGGGATTCGATCCTGAGTCTCCAGGATCGCGCCCTGGGCCAAAGGCAGGCACCAAACCGCTGCGCCACCCAGGGATCCCTCTACCTTTCTTCTCATTCTGCTTCCGTGGTGTCTCCACTTTTTCTGTGGCGGTCTCAGAGTCCAAACCCGCGTCACTAAGGAGTTTCCCCGGCAGTGTTCACCTCAAGCAATTCTGGCCGACCGGTCAGGTCCACCGCATAGAGAGGAAGACTCCACCAAAGATGTTTTAAGAATTCTTTCTTGGTTGTCGGCTCTGGGCTTCACCTATGTTCCAAAACTTTCATCTTTATGAGGTCATAGGGATTTGGATTTCAATATATGAATTCTGGAAAACACAATTAAACTTATAAATGTGCTCTCTCCCCAAATTCATGTTCTTCTCACATGTGAAATATGTCCACTGTCTCCCAACATCCCCAAAGTCTTAACGCATTTCAACATCCAATTTCCTCTGCATATCCTTTAAATTAGGTCTAGGTGAGATGAGGGATGCTTCATCCTCTCCATTTGTGCCATGTCCTTCCCAAATACAATGGTGGGTCAGGCCTAGGACAGACACTCCCATTCTAAGGGAGAGAAATCAAGGAAGATGGGAGTCATTGGTCCCAAGCAAGAGCTGTGCTCCGCCCCCTTGTCCACCCCCTGGAACTGAGGAAGAGACAGTCCACTCCTGGATCTATGCCTGCTGGGTCCTCATGCCAAAGGCAGCCTTGTCAAACCTTGACCATCTCCAGCATTCTTTCCTTTTCCTAAGCATAATGTGTATTTCCAGTATATAGCTCAGTTGGCCCTTTTCCTGCCTATGGAATCTTATACTGACAGTCCTCACTTCATTCTGTACCTATCTTTTTACATTTCCCAACTGTCTGTGTTTCTGCTGATAGAACATTCACAAAAATTTTGTTGGTCTCTTGTGCAGTTCATAAGGGCCCAAACCATCAAAAGAGGAGAGTCCTTCCTAGATTTTTTACCATGTCACCACATCTGTGTTCCTGGCTTCTGCTGAGATGGGTGACTGAGTAATGTTACTGATGGATTGTGAAGGTGTTTATATATATATATATATATATATATATATATATATATATATATATATATATATTTGTAAATATAAACTAGTCAGCTACTATTTAAATATTTACTATTTAGGGATGTTCAGGTGGCTCAGAGGTTGAGCATCTGCCTTTGGCTCAGAGCATAATCCTGGGGTCCTGGGATTGAGTCCTGCATCGGGCTCCCCACAGGGAGCCTGCTTCTCCCTCTGCCTGTGTCTCTGCCTCTCTCTCTGGGTCTCTCATGAATAAATAAATAAATAAATAAATATCCTTAAAGAACTAAAAAAATAAATATTTACTATTTGTCTATAGTCAGTTATACTGAGATGTCTTAATATTCTAGTGGTTTCTCTAGTGGATTCACCTAGTGGATCTGTGCATTTTTCCTGTGCAGCTAACACCTTTAAATAATAATGTTGCATCTTCCTTTCTCATTCTCCTATATCTTATTTTTCCTTCTTACTTTGTTACATTGTATAGTTTTTGCTACTTGGTAGTGGAATCTCTGTAATGCTCCATGATTTAGTAGGAATCGACCTAAGATTCACAATTTTTGGTTTCTTTTAGAGTGAAATGCTATTTATAGTTTATGATTAGGACTGTGGTTCCCGGGTTCCTACTGGGTTATTTTTATAAATAAGGAAGTCAGGGGACCCCTGGGTGGCTCAGCAGTTTGCCTTCAGCTCAAGGTGTGAACCTGGGGTTCTGGGATGGAGTCCCACATTGGGCTTCCTTCAGGGAGCCTGCTTCTCCCTCTGCCTGTGTCTCTGCCTCTCCCTGTGTCTCTCATGAATAAATAATAAAATCTTAAAAAAATAAAGAAGTCAGTACTTGATAGTGATATTTCTTGTTCCAAACTAAGATTAAAGCGTTTTTACTTAACTTCCTTGGCTTTATATCTTTATTTTATATAAAAAATCTTGGTTCCTAAGCACATTTACATCCTTATATATTTACTTTATCCCATTATCTATCACTCTATATAAATAATTTCAAAATAATGACACAAAAATTCAAGGACAGTAAATGCATTTTAAGATTTATTCATGGTTGTTTTTGTCTGAAATTTCCCTCTAGGTTGTACAGTGACAGTATGGTTTGGTGGCATGTCAAGGCTGTAAAGCTTGGTAGAGATCTCACCACTTTATGCTGAGATTGAAGCTGTTCTGACTTTCCTGACTGGGTAACTTTAGATTCTATTTTTTTTATCTTTGAAGCTAAGTAACTTTGTCAAGATTCAATTCTCTTTTATTTCAGGAACATCTTATGTTTCAGTAATTTCCAGGTGTTTTGTTTTAGTCTGCTTTCTTTAGTGATAATTTTGTGTAAAAGGACAGTGATGGTCTTCTATGCCTGTGTCTTTTTCTAACCCATGAGTCCCTTTGACTTTGCTACTTAACTTTCTGTAATTCTCTTCTGTTTTCACCAGCAGATATATATTTAAAGATCTTATTTATTTGAGAGAGAGAGAGAGAGAAAGAGAGAGAAAACAAGCAGGGGGAGCAGCAGAGGGAGAGGGAGAAGCAGACTCCCCACTGAGCAGGGAGTCCCCTGGGGGCTTGATCCCAGGACCCTGAGATCATGACCTGAGCTGAAGGCAGATGCTCCACCCACTGAGTCACCTAGATGCCCCAAGTGGTTCCTTATTAAACTAAAATGGGAAAAATCTTTGCTTTATCAGTGGAATGTTTTACTGTTAATTCAATTTTACTGTATTGAATTCCACACACAACCTTTCCAAAACCAAGCCATGAAACAAACATCAGAAACAAAGTTATACAATAAATTGATGAACTGTTTAAGAAGAAAGAAAGACAAGGATAGTTGGCAGAGGAAAAAGTGGGATGAAGAATGCAAAAGGAAGGGCTCCTAATAGTTGTACCTATAAAGATTATAGGTCATCAGAAATGTCATGCATTCCATAAGGGGAGTGATTGGCCACCTCTCAAGTCTCCTGAGCCAAACCAGCAGTTCCCAGGACTGAAGCAGACCAGGCACAGAGATTGAGCAGTCAGGGAGCATGATCAGTAGGCCCTGAGGCAATGCCAAGTGTTTACAGGATGTGTTCCAGTGAGGAGGATCCCTGTCAGGGTGACCGTGTGTGGAACTGTGCTTCTCAGTTGTTCTGCACATGTATGTCACCTAGGAATTGGGAGAGACACAGATTCAGGCCCAGTGGGTCTGGGTTAGAACCTGGGATTCTGCATTTCTGTCATGACCTGGGTGATTCTGGCATGGCTTATCCCACCCTGGAGCCGGGGGTCTCCAGGCCCAGAGACACATGCGTTTGTCTGTGAATCAAGGATAGATCGGCTGTGTGCAGGTAAGTACATGGTTCTTGTTTACTGCTGGACAGAGGGGCCTGCATTAGCAGATTATGCTTTTGTCGACTTTTTATAACAACACTTAGCTTAAAAATCGTTCTGTGGAATGCCATGTCTCTGAAGGTGGATCAGATTTTCCAACTGAAACCTTTCACATTGCATATAAAACAAATTCTATATAAAGCAAATTCTATATAAAGCAACTAGAGGAAGAGAAAAGAGACTAGCTGGAGTCCTTGGGACACAAGGAATGACACTGTGGTGAGGTCTCTGGGTTCTTTGTTTCTTTGCTTGTTTTTTATTCTTCTGTCACAGACTTGGAGCTTGAAGAAACTCTTTCCAACAAATGGTTCTGGAGCAATTGGCTATCCACAGGCTAAATAAGTAAATAAACCTTGGCTCAACCTTAACATTTTGTGTAAAAGTCGACTCAAAATGGGATAGCTGGCTGGCTCAATCAGTGCACATGCAACTCCTGTTCTGAGGGTTTACTTTCAAGCCCCATGTTGGGTGTACAAATTACTTAAAAATAATATATTTTAAAAATGGATTGTAGACTTTATGTAAAATGAAAAACCACAAAGCTTTAAAAAAACAACATAGGAGAAAATTTCTACAGCTTGGACCTCAGCATGGTGAGATTTGGGAAATGATACCAAATGCATGATCCATTAAAGGAAAAATTGGCAAATTGAATTTCATTCATATTGAATTGTTTAGAGGTGCCTGGGTGGATCAGTCAGTTGGGCATCAGACTCTTGGTTTCCGTTCAGGTTGTGATATCAGGGTCATGAGATCAAATCTTGCATCAGACTCGGCTCATTGTGGAATCTACTTGAGATTCTCTCCCTCTGCCCCTCCCCTCTCTCCTACTCTCTCCCTAAGGTACATAAATCTTTTAAAAAGTTTAAAGTGGTGACGGTTGGGTGGCTCAGTGGTTGAGCATTTGCCTTTGGCTCAGGTCATGACCCTGGGGTCCCAGGATTGAGTCCCATATCAGGTTCCCTGCAGGGAGCCTGCTTCTTCCTCTGCCTATGTCTCTGCCTCTCTCTGTGTCTCTCATGAATAAATAAATAAAATCTTTTTAAAAAAACAGTTTAAAAGTGTTCGCTGCATGAAAGATTTTGTTGAAATGTTGAAAAAAAAAAGAAGCTACAGGGGGGTATTTCGAAATCCTTTGTCTCACAAAAAACTTCCATGTAGAATATTTAAGGAAATCTCAAATTTAATGAGAGAAAACAATTAGAAAAGACTCATAAGGCCAGATGAATTGAGGAAGATGCACTGATGAATGATGAAGAATGTTCATCATTGATACCATTAGAAAATTTCAAGTTAAAATCATAGTGAGATATCCTTAAACATCTATCAGAATGGGTAAAATTTTAAAAAATTATGATAATACCAAATGCTTGCAAGGATGCAGAGAAACCGGACTGCTCACATGCTGTTGGTGGAAATGGAAAGTTGTATACCTGCCCTGGGGAAGTTTATGGAAGTTTCTTACAAAATTAGATGGGTGTTTACTATATGACTCAGCAGTTGCACTTTTAGGCATTTATCCCAGAGAAACACAATTCTCATGATCACACAAAGCCCGTTCATAAATGTTCATTGCAGCTTTATTCTGGTAGCCTTGACCTGGAGACAGCTCAGAATTTTTCAATGGGTGAATGATTAGACAAACTGCTGTATCAATGCCCTGGAATAGTATTTGGCAATAAGGGGGAAAAAAACTATTGATGCGCACAACA